TTCCTCAATGCCATGCCTGTTCTTTTCAAGGGAAGTGGATTTTGTTCTGAGCCATCCTTTCATGGCAAGATGGTTTCTTTTGTTGCAGGACATTCGATATCCTTGGCCTTCACTCACCAAATGCCAAAAAACAACCCCTTAATCTTTGTGACACCACTCCCATTTCATTTCCAAACACCCTCTTGAGAAATGGCACCACTCTTGGTTGAGATACCTTTTTACCATCAATTTGCATTCTGGCTTTGAAAACACACTACCATATCTTTTGCCAGAAGCCACAAAGGCCAGGCATAAGCCTCTTTACATAAAGAGAGTGAAAAAGTCCTTAGATGCGATCATTGCCTACAGTTTCTGTGAAAAACTGGGCTCCTTGTCTATGTGATAACTGGGGAAACAAATTTAAAGGAGTTTCCTAAGATCACTCATTAGGTAATAGGCTATGTTGACTCTACTAATAAAATTCCTTAAGAACCCAGCATCTTAGTGTACCTTAGTAATGTGCATCATGATTATATCAATGTCATTGTTGGTCATTTATTGATGGCTGGCAACATACCAGCACCTTACAAATCTCATTTATCCTTTCCACAGCTCTAGAATAACTATTCATATCCCTTACAGAGATTAGAAAACGGATGCTTAGAAAAGTGAAGTAGTTGGCCAAGCTCTCCCAGCTAAGTGGCAGAGCTAGGATTCAAGCTGAAGTTCATGACACTGCAAAAGCAATGTGCTGGCCCATGGCCTGGAGCTATTTTTAGTCCACCTTACTTTCAAGTAGCAGGAAAGTTAACTGAAGTCCCTAACTTTTGAACCAGGCTGTCTGTAACAACCCAAAAAACAATTATTTTGTACTGTGTTCTGCCGGAGATGTTATTTTTTATTATTGCTAGGACAACTCTCAGCAGGGTCACCTCATTAGCTGAAGAAAATGTTCCCTGTTGTTCTGTGAGAGACGGATCAGATGGAGAAGCATGAAAACAAACACCAGAAAGTGATTCCATGTTCCCCTCATTTAGGGGATGGAACAGTAATCTCCTTCTCTGATTCCCAGCCTCCTAAGTGATGTTTTACTCTGTAGTTGTAGAAGTGCTTTTAAAATGATGGAAAAAGTTTTACAGGGATGCCTTCCAAAACTCTTTATCAGTGTTTCCATAACAGAGTAAATTGGAGTGTCGAATCTTTGGTGGGTACACTTAGTACTGGTCTGTTTTAAATTTCTCATGTAGGAAAATAAGAGTTTGGCTAGATTGGTTCTAATTGCCTGTGAGGAATAACTAAAGTGAGATTTAAAAAATGTTTTTAATATTTTAATATTAAATATTTTTTAAATATTTTAATATTGTATATATAGTGAGACTATAATATTTTTAAATATTTTCTTTAAGTTCTTTCTCAAATGCAAGCACTTCATCAGTTATACTGATACACCTATTAATAGATATCTCACAAGCCATGTGTTATAGAAGCCTATCACTTTACTCCCTTTGCAAATCTGTATGTATAGAAACAAAAGTAATTTTCTTCAAGATTACTTTTCATCACAGGATTTGCATTTCACTTAGAATAAAATTAAAACTCATTGTGGAGGGCAGGCACAGTGACTCCTGCCTGTAATCCTAGCATTGTGGGAGGCCAAGGTGGGCAGATAGTTTGAGCCCAGGATTTCAAGACCAACATGGCAAAACCCCGTCTGTACTAAAAATACCAAAATTAGCTGGACGTGGTGGTACATATTCTGAAATCCCAGCCACTCAGGAGGCTGAGGCAGGAGAATTGCTTGAACCCAGGAGACAGAGGTTGCAGTGAGCCACTGCACTCCAGCCTGGTCGACAGAGGGAGCCTCTTTAGCCTGTTCCATCACCTCGTGACCTGGTGCTGCCTATCCTCGGACCCTGCTTCCTCCCTTTCCTTTCTCACTCTCCCACCCTCTAACCACTCTGTCTTTCTGTCAGGACTTTTGTATTTATTGTCCTTTCTCATCATACAGTTGCCTCCTGAACTTCACTTGGTAGACTCCTTCTTTTTTTCAAGCTCCAGCTCAAATTTCGTCTCAATTAAAAAAAACCTTTTTTTTCCCCCTAATTCCCTAAATTGGCCATCCTGATGTCTTCAATCACATTACATTCTTTTGGTTTGTTTATTTATTTATTGAGATGGAGTCTCATTGTCACCTAGGCTGGAGTGCGGTGGTGCTCTCTTGGCTCACCACAACCTCTGCCTCCCAGGTTCAAGCGATTCTCCTGCCTCAGTCTCCCGAGTAGCTCGGAGTACAGCCACGCAGCATTATGCCCGGCTAATTTTTATATTTTTAGTAGAGCCAGGGTTTTACCATGTTGGTCAGGCTGGTCTCAAACTCCTGACCTCGTGATCAGCCCACCTCGGCCTCTCAAAGTGCTGGGAGTACAGGTTTGAGCCACTTTGCCCAGCCTGGTTTATTTTTAAAAGAACTTTTTCATTATTTGAAATGATCTTCTTATTTTATTTACTTGCTTCTTTTCTGTTAAACTTGAGTAAAAATAACAGCATCCCCATATCTACAGCAGAACCCACAATATAATAGGGTTCAAGAGTATTTGCTAAATGGATGATGAATGAATGAATTCCAATTCTGTACCTAGAATGAAATTGAATTCTCAGATAAATACCATAAGGCACAAAAGCATTTACTGAATAGTTTAAATCTGCATAAATTGTGAAAGTTGACATTCAAATCAATATTATATATTCCCTAATATTGGTCTGCCTGCTATGAACAGGAATTCTGTGGGAAGCAGGGATAAACAAAACTCAGAACTGCTTTACAGGGAAAAAATTCAGACCACGTGATATTTAGCCAGAGATAGGCTTTTCCTTTTGTAAGATGCAGCTCTTCTGCTTATTCAAGCAGGCCCATGCTGATTCTTTTCTTTTCTTTTCTTTTTTTCTTTCTCTCTCTCTTTTTTTTTTTTTTTTTTTTTTTTTTTTTTTTTTTTGAGACGGAGTCTTGCTTTGTCGCCCAGGCTGGAGTGCAGTGGCACAATCTCTACTCACTACAACCTCCACCTCCCAGTCTCAAGTGATTCTCCCATCTCAGCCCTACCCCTGCCCACCGAGTAGCTGGAATTATAGGCACACACCCCACGCCTGGCTAATTTTTTGTAATTTTCGTAGAGATAGGCTTTCATCATGTTGCCCAGACTGGTCTCATACTCATGAGCTTACGCGATACACCTGCCTCAGCCTCCCAAAGTGTTGGGATTATAGACATGAGTCACCATGCCAGGCTGCCAGGCTGATTGTTACCAAAAGTTTCAGGATGTGCATCATAGCATTTCTAAATATGCCTTTTATACTCATTTCCTTGCCCTCTTACCTGCAAAAATAAGCATTTTGACGTTCCTCTATTTAACAACATGACTTCCAAGAGGCTGGTATTGTGATCTGATCTCCTCTACTAGCAGTGAACTTGTTTTGTGTTAAGTCTTTGGGTTTTGAAAATAGAACCTGTGTATGTCCCAGATGTCCTTTTACTGAGTTCACAGAATACAAATGGAAAAATTTTATTACCAGACAGAGGTGTTTAAAAATGAAAATCAAACCTAATACATGGACTCAGACAACTGGAATGAGGAATATAATATTTATAAAACTGAGTAGGAGGTTGCAATCATTGCTCTAAAATAGAGCATTAAAAATTAATTCAGAGCAAACCTGTCTGTGCCACAGCAAAGCTGTCTTTCATTAAGGTAGCACTGGATGTTTCTCCAGAATTAGTTCCCCCCAAATAGGTAAATAGCTGAGTGTTGTAAGAACAGAGTGTTCTGCAAACTATGGAAGTGCTACCTGAAGCACGATTTAGAGTTACTTTTACTATTACAGCTTTATAGACCTTTCATTTTGAAACAATTAATTGTGATTCTTGCAGTTTTCCTCTATTTTTGTTCTTGAATATTACTAGAAAGGCTTAATTCACGTGCTTATTCGTCATCTGCATTTGATTAATCCAAATTGTACTAGATCATTTGATTAATTTGTATGTAGCAGTATATTAAATCTTGATGAACTGTGGGTACCCATTATAAGATATATTTTAAAACTTTCCGTAGGTTTTTCATTTCAAAAAGTTTGTGTTGCACATATTTTAAATGACTTTTTCCTATCTTATTCCACTTCACATTATTATCATTATCCATATTGTGTTATTGTTAGTTTCCATCTTCAAATACACTAAACAGGAAGAGAAATAAAATGCTAATGTTATTTCTACACTTTCCATTGAGAGGAGGTTTTTATTTTTCCCAATACACACCATTCCTCTGAAGCCCTAAAATAAATAACTTTATAACCTCTAGGCCCTATTGGTTTTCTAATGATTTCAAATGAAAAGCATCCAGTTTCCATTGCATTGACAAACTGTTCAGTCCCTGGGCAAAACCTATTGGATTCCTATTAAATGAAGGGGTCAAGAAACAACCAAAAATCCAAAAAGTAGATTTGAGATGGAGCAGGGAGAGGTGGTCTCAGCTCAGCTCATTAAATGGGTACTTAATCTTTGACCATTGATGACAGGTCTTCTTTAGTTCTCTTAGACCAAGCGCAAGCTGTTATGATTAAATAAATAAATAAAAACGGTTTAGAGCCTTACTGAATATGTCCTGGGAATTAAAGCATATGGCAGGGGTAAGGAAAAAAGATTTTCCTTATGCTAATGACCCTTGATGTCTGAAATAAATTAGATCCATTAGAGTTTATGCTCTATGAAAGAAAGACTTTAAGCACTCCAAAGTTAGTGACTCGAGACCAGTTTTGCTCTAAAATTCAATCTGCCTGCTTATTAATTCTTAGTGAGGCTCCAGAGCAGACAGGAGATGCAAAATAATAATTCTGTACTAAACCAGAATTTTAAAGGACCACAGGTTTCTTTTCCTTTTAATTAAACCATTTTTCATGCTTCCCATTTTGTTTCTTTCATTAATTTGATTTTGTTCCCATTTTTGTTTCATTTTTTTTTTCTTTTAAAGGTTTCATTTATCCCATTTCAACCGAACAGAGAACTCAGAATGAATATGGATTTTCTTGTAAGTTTGATGCTTGGATTTTATGTTGCTGAATAATCATTTAATGTTATTGCCCCTAGTTCAAGTTTACCTTTCTTTAGATTACAGATGTGCACACAGGAAATAGGAGCCTAATATATTCTAACATGAAAAATAAATTAGATTTTTGCTGCTAAAGAAAAGAAAGGGTCATTTCAAGACTCTGCCAGCTTTAAAATCTATCAGTCTACCATTCAAAGCTTTAGTCCCAGTAGCTGACAAAAGATATCATGAAATATGCTGATATAAGTAAAGGGCAGGGTTCAAATACTAAAAAGGAAAGGGTAGAGAAAAGACAGATCTGTTGAGCTGGAAACCATGAATGTTGAATAAGTAACTATGACCTGGTAAAGTAAAACATTAAGGATTTAGATATAATATTCTGACCAGAGTTCAGAATCCTGCAGCAGTGCCTGAAATAAAACCCAGCAGAAAAGTGAAGTAAGCACTTTGAAAGCAGCACTCATCCAACCAAGAGTATTTAGGACATCACTGGTTTTCTGAAGAAAATTTGCTAATATTGACTTGATTCGTGATGAAAGTGAATATTCTGAAAATTCGGGGAAGAAAATTATCTTTAAAAGAAAGCAAAATCCTTTTGGATACATTACATTTAAACACAAAATGCTAAAAGAGATACAGAAATTTCCAATAGAGAATTCATTTACACTGCTAATATATGAAACAGTCCATGACATTAGTGTGGGTGATCTTGTGAGCTACTGGCAAATGAAATGATGAGTTATTTCACCATGTAAACCATGTGGCTGTGAGTCTTATAAGAGTGCAGTGGTTCCTACATTTTAGGAGGTGATGGGACCTACAAATTTGAAAGTTCCCTCTCCCCGAAAAATGCACGTGTATATAAAATTGGCCAAAAACTTCTGGGTTGTTCTCGACCACCCGAAGTACCAATTTAACAACCTCTTTTACAATGAGTGGAGCAGCTTTGATTAATTTTGCTGAACATGTTTTCATGGGTCACAGAAAACTAAAAACAGAGACTTAAAAATGTCAAAGGGGTTCGCAATGGTTTCATTTCATTTGTTTTTTTTTTTTTTTAATTATCAGCTTCTATCACCTTTTCCAGCTGGATGAAAGCATGTTCTCTGCCACCAAGGCAACATGCAACATTTATAGGAATTCTGTTCCAGATACAAGGCCTCAGTTGACTGACACACTGTGTTGGTCAAATGCTTATTTGCCTTCTGGGGTAGCCTGACCTTTCTGATCACTGAACCAGGCCTTTATCTTACTTAGTGCACAGGAGAGCTATATTTTATTCTAGTAATGAGTAGCTCAAATGTAAATCTCTGGCAGGGGACCGTGAGAAAATCAGGGTTCTCAGAGATAATACTGCATCTGTATCAAAAGCCTGGACTTAAAGAAGGTTATCGGCATTAACCTCTGTTCCCCAGATCTGGGCCTTCTGAAAGCACACCTTTCAAATCTAATATGTTTGCTCCTGATATTTGCTTTGCTTAGTTACACCATTCCCACCCACCTTTCCATAGATTTAGGGGAAAGTGAGGACAGTGCAATGGAAAGTAATTTTATGACTTACAGTGATACTTAGGAAAATATTCTGGTTCAATAAGTATGCAGATTTAAAACATGCCAGATATTTCTAATAGTTTTTAAAGAATTATCAGTGAATTCAAAAACCCTTCCAAACTTTTCCACCTGAAATGAGTTATAAACTTTTTTTTCCTGTGGGTTGGGATGGTTTTAGTTCCAGTTTCTTTATAAGCCTAGCAATAAACGGTCTGTTATGCTACTCAATTATAAGATAGATTAGTGGGTGGATACATACAGAGTGAGAAAGGAAAAGAAATCAGAGATAATTTTCCACTGAAAGGCCACAGCCATTTTATATAGCTTTTGAAATAGATTTGAAATTAACCTATAAAAAAGGCAGTAAATGTCAAAAAAAATTATAGCAATACATATGTGTACTGTGGGAAATTTCTATAAGCAGCTGGTTCAGTGTTTCATTCTTCCCTCTAGCTGCTCCTGATTCAGATGATGTTGCTCTCTATGTTGGGATTGTGATAGCAGTGATCGTTTGCCTGGCCATCTCTGTAGTTGTGGCCTTGTTTGTGTATCGGAAGAATCATCGTGACTTTGAGTCAGATATTATTGACTCTTCAGCACTCAATGGGGGCTTTCAGCCTGTGAACATCAAAGCAGCAAGACAAGGTGAGTTGACTTCACACCCTGTTACCTATGCATGTAAGCAGTTTCAAAATCAATGACTTCAGAGTCATCTCATTCAACTAGAATGTAAGCTCCATGAAGACAGCAATTTGAGTCAGTTTTGTTCATTACTGCTTTAATGTCATGTACAAACCAGATTAAAGTTAACAAGGCATACAGTTCCTCTTTTTTTCTTTTCTGACAGATTTTTCTCACTTTTTAACTTCTATTTGAAAAGATTACACTGATTGGTTGACTGATTTCTTAAGTCTTTTTTTCCTTCATTTGATAAGACATCTTGTATTGCTATGAATACAATGATTTACCAATGAACCCAACTCTTAAATAGACCAGGAAAACTATAGCTAATAGTCACCTAGTGGCTACACTGTTCAATCCAGTCTGTTGAAATAGCTAAATACCTTGGGCATAATGAGTAGACTTCGAAGCAAAACATAGAATGAACTTGGCCACTTACTCATAGCCAATAATAAAATGGCTGGTAGTTACCTGATTGCCCTGTTTTCAGTAAAGCCTGTCTATCCACCTCCATTATTGGCTGAGCTGCTTTACTTTTGGCTCAGAAAGTGTAAGGGAGATTCTGACTAATATAGGTTAGCCTGAATGGAGAACGCCAATGGGATTCTTTTCTTTTTCTGACTCAGATCTGCTGGCAGTACCCCCAGACCTCACGTCAGCTGCAGCCATGTACAGAGGACCTGTCTATGCCCTGCATGACGTCTCAGACAAAATTCCAATGACCAACTCTCCAATTCTGGATCCACTGCCAAACCTGAAAATCAAAGTGTATAACACCTCAGGTGCTGTCACCCCCCAAGATGAGCTCTCTGAGTTTACGTCCAAGCTGTCCCCTCAGATGACCCAGTCGTTGCTGGAGAATGAAGCCCTCAACCTGAAGAACCAGAGTCTAGCAAGACAGACTGATCCATCCTGTACCGCATTTGGCAGCTTCAACTCGCTTGGAGGTCACCTTATTGTTCCCAATTCAGGTATCTTCTTTGTTTGTGTCATGTTTTCATTAGGCCTGAAATGTTAAATGTGACATATCTAGCCCAGATCTACTTTCAATGTAAACAGAATATTACTTCAGACAAAATCAGCAAAACCATTTCTCTTCCCCCAACCAATTCAAAAATGCTTCCTCTAGAAATTTTATATTCACAGCTTTCTGCTGAGGTGTAGTCTGGAATCATCACTGACCTCCTTTTCTCTAGAACTTCAGAAGGCAGCATCAAGCCACAAGTCCCACTGTAGTCATTCTACTTTAAAAAGAAAACCTATTTATGAAATATATCATTTGGTTCATTTCCAATTTACTACACAAGCAATGCTACAGCATACACATTTTTTGATCATCAGAAGGCATCATAATAGACATCAAATCTTCATTTATTAACCTAACTTTATCACACAGTCTTTTACCTCACAGTATGGATAATGTACACTATACTCACTCCTACCTCTGATATATGTATCCTGAATCACCAGATTCATCAGGTGTGCTCTTATACTATTATTTGGTCTTCAGTTTATTATGTAGTTTCTCTGCATCTAGAGAATAAGCCCCATAAAGTTCTTTCATGATGAGTTAAAGTTAATGACTGATACTGTTGGATTAAAAATTGATATTCATTAATCAATATTAGTAATGGGTTTGGAACCATGGGTCATAAAAGGGCTAATGGCTTCCTCTCTGAATTTATCTTAATTCTTTCAAACAAGGCTGTGAGTATTTTGTAAGTACAGTAATAAAAAGCAGTTTGATTGACCTAAAGTGTTGCCACATTAAAAAAAACATAATGTATATATAGTCAAGGACTATACAGACCAATGAGTCTTCAAGCCCAAATATGAAATTTTATTTTATTCTTTCTGTGATTCAGTGTCTCATTTCAATGCCTTGGCAACTTTTACTCTATGTCTTTAAAAATATTTTTTAACAAAATTAAAACATTTAATAAAGTATCATTTTTTCCTTTTTCTTCACAGTTTACATAGTTGGGATCATGTATTACATAATGTTTTCCACCCTTTCTCATTAATCCTCATGCTATTGCATGCTGTTTAAAATCATGATTTTAGGCCACGCACAGTGGCTCGCTCCTGTAATCCCAGCACTTTGGGAGGCCGAGGCGGGTGGATCACGAGGTCAAGAGATCAAGACCATCCTGGTCAACATGGTGAAACCCTGTCTCTACTAAAAATACAAAATATTAGCTGGGCATGGTGGCACGTGCCTGTAATCCCAGCTACTCAGGAGACTGAGGCAGGAGAATTGCCTGAACCCAGGAGGCGGAGGTTGCGGCGAGCCAAGATCATGCCATTGCACTCCAGCCTGGGTAACAAGAGCGAAATTCCATCTCAAAAAAAAAAAAAAAAAAAAAATCATGATTCTAAATATCTTTATAACAGTCCATTGATGAATGAATCAAACTATAATGTTCTTCCATTGTGGAAACATTACAATTACTCTCAAAATAGTTCTTTTCTCTCTGATATGTATTGGATTCTTCCTCCTCTTCCCATTTCTATACCTACCACTTTCTCATATGTGCATTAATATGAGGGCTTCTTAAGTGGAAGGGAATGAGCTAGCATGTTTTAAATTCTTCCTATGTATGAGGCAATGGTGGTCAACATATTATATTTCATTTAATGGACAAGCAATAGTTACCTTATACTCATGATGCTGTTTCATCCCGATAACAAAGATGAAGGTATGTTTTATGTTTTCAATGAAAAGAATAAAAGCAAATCATTCTGTACAATGACAGTCTATATTTTTTTTTTAAGATGGGGTTTCACCATGTTGGTCACGATGGTCTTGAACTCCAGACCTCAGGTGATCCGCCCTCCTTGGCCTCCAAAGTGCTTGGATCACAGGCATGAGCCACCACGCCCGGCCAACAGCCTACTTCTTACAACACCAGGGCTTTCAAATCACTTTCCTTCTCAAGAAGGCAGTGGCTTGACATCTTCAACCAGTTACATAAAGGCCTATGAATAACTACTTCCACTTAACTCTCCATTCTTTTCTCTTGAGAGAAAAGTGTGGTCAGACAAGTTTTTGTATCACCTCATGCTCATTTGGCATATTCCATTTTCTCGCTAACTAAAGTATAAAGTACTCAAAGACAAAAGACTGTCTTCTCCTTGAAATTCACAGCAGTGCCAAACACTATACTCACAAAGATCCTTTATAAATTTGTATGGGGCTGAAGTAAGCTGGATTTTATGGGAATAAAACAATGGAGTCACACATCTTTGGAGTGCTATCTTCCCTGAATCACTCTTTGTGATGATGAGCAATGGTGTGGGCCCCAGATCACCATCATGGGCATCACCTGGCAACTGGTTGAACTAAAAAAATCTCCTACACCACATTCATATCTTTGAATCAGAAACTCTGGGGGTAGGGACCAGGATTCTGTGGTTTAAGGAGCTCTCCAAGTGGTTCTGATGTGAGCTCAACTTTGCAAAGCACTGCTACCGCAGACACAGCTTAGAACACAGCCCAATCTAATAGTCCTGCAAAAGGGCACAAGTTAGAACTAACTAGAAACGCTTTGACCTGCTGTGACTAAACTAGCAATTACTGTTCACTTTCTAGAGCTACGTACAATAAACGATCTTCACCAATTCTTCTTATGCCATTATGGAATTACACTGATGCTAACCAGATATTTCAAAAATACATTTTTTGTGTGGTTGAAATTGGCATTTCCCTGACTTTGAATCTCGTGGAGATTTTTCAAAAAAATTAGAAATGATGCATCTTTACAGCTCTTTGAAATTTTGAGCAGTTGTTGGTTTTCCCCTTGTCTTGCAAGGAAAACAACAGTGGGACCATCTGTCTGTTCCTTAAATAAAACAAGAGTTTAAAAAGTTACATCATTCCTTTAATTCCCTAAGAGTTCAGAGGGAGCTGTGGTAAGGAGGGCAATGAGGAAGGAAAATGGAGGAACTTGGAATATTTACATGTCTTTAGAGAAAGCGAAGCAGGCTTATGGCTGCACGGTCACAAAATCTCATTCCCTTTTGCATGCTGCAAAAGCTTTGCTTCTGAGGTCTTATATGACTGCTTTTCTCTTTTGCTATTCAGGAGTCAGTTTGCTGATTCCCGCTGGGGCCATTCCTCAAGGGAGAGTCTATGAAATGTATGTGACTGTTCACAGGAAAGAAACTATGAGGTAAATATGCTTTTTCTGGTGCACTGACTTTATCGATGTCTAAGTTGGAGGAGATTATACAATACACACAATAAACCCAACATATTTTTGCCTCAAGTGCCTTGCATACATTTTCTGGCATACATTTGTTTTTCCTTGACCTACAATAGGTCAGGTTTTACTTCTCTTTGTCTTTGAAACTCCAGACACTTTGCAGATCTTGAATATGGGTAGAAGGCTAGAGATCTTTTCCCAAGTGGACATGTTGCTTTATTTCCTGGAAAACCATCCACAAATGTGATCCCTAGATTGTCCAAAGAGACATGTGGGTAGAGACAGAGACATGGACTTCATGGGGTCTGGCTCAGGAATCCAGCCTGTTCCCATTACAGAGTTAAAGGTCACAAAGGATTGAACAACTCTGCCAATGCCTACCAGTCCCACTAAGCCTAGCCCTTAATTCTTACCCACGGATTCTTCCTTTTGTGACTGTCTTGTAGTTTAAATGCTACCAATTTCCTTCTTATGTTTAGCACTGATGAATTCCACATTAGGTCATTCAGAATGGGGCTAGGATTGAATAAAACTAGGCTGAATTATAAGATTTTGTTTAGAATGTGTCATAATCATAAAGGTGAAGTTATTTTAAGTGAAAATAACAAGAGGCGTTGAGAAGTCCTAAATTCAGTTTTCAGTTTGGCCTCTAACAAATCGTATTAGGTCTTTCTTGATTAGTTTCCATGTAAAATGTGTGTGTTAAATAGTGCTTTCGAGGCTGATTAATGCTTCTGAAGTACATCCAGATCTTCAAATGAAAGATATTAAAATGGAGATCCTCATCATGTCATTATCATTGTTTTTCCCAAGGGGAAAAGCTTCGGCTCCTCAGCCCTGAGCTCTGAATATAAAGCACAAGTGACAATGCAGAACTAGGTTATCATTATAACACATTATACCTTTTCTTTTCCCAGCTCTCATCCTCAGAAAAACACCCATTTTTAGTCTTGTTCTTCACTAGCCATAAAGCTTTTTTATTAAGCTCTCAGGTGGAGATATTGGCATTTATAATCAGTGTGACCCAGAACATTTTTTTCCTCGGGTATCTTACTTCCACCTACATAAATACTAGCCTGTCTAAGAAAATAATACAATTCCTGAGCATTACTCATGCCTTAAATTTGAGCAACAGAAAATCACTAAAAGGCTTGTATTTACTCACATCAAGTATTCATTTTTTTCATTCCCAATGCAAAGCAACATTCACAGGCCCTCAAATCTCCCTTCTTTTGCATCAGGAGAAAAGAAGATGAGCAAACTCCAAGATCTCCTCTTTATTTTATTTTATTTTTCCTTCTCTCATCCAGAGTCAAGGTTAGCATTAAGTACGTCTGTCCATCAAGGCCTTTGCCGATGTGGACATTTTGTTTAAACAGAAGTAAGTATTGGCTTGTGCTTTAGGGTGAGAAACAGTGAATTGTGGGGTCCTCTTATTCGCCATCGCTTCTCATTATCTGCAGCTGAAGATCAAGCCTTAAGGGGCTTCTGTAGGCAGGGGCTGAAGCTGAAAGAGGTGTGTGCACTCACTTGCCTACTCTTCCTGTAGCTTCCTTGGCACCCTAACCGGGATAATAGTACATTTCAGATGAAGGTAAGAAAAACAGAAAATTGATAAAGCTAGACACTTTTCTGCCTTTGACTATAATGAAAAGGAAACCAGAAATCACTCCTTGCTATGCATATCATCTGAAGTTAGGTTCAGAGGGAATTACTCTGTTGAATTTAGTGTGCATCAAAGAAGTTCTGTTTATAAAAATAAAGCTAGAGAAACCTCAAGATCTCAAAAGAAAATATGCTCCAGAGACTATGAACGAAGGAACAAACACAGGAGGCTTACCGTGTCACATAAATGAGAAGTCTTCTCATCACTAGTTTTCTCTTATAAACTAGATGCATTTTTATCGTGAAAACACAGTGGCAGGAATGTGCTTTAGAACATAGTCATATTACAAGGCATCCTGCCCTTCATCCGGCAAACTCTTAATTTCACTTCTCACTACACTCTGAAAGCTGTGATGAGCTCCACTTTAAAGATGAAGAAATTGAGGCACAGGGGAATTGGGTTCCATAGCCAAGGTTTCACAGTCGGTAGCTGAGTGAGGCAGAATTGAAACTCAGGCTTTTCTGACCACAAAGCGCTTTCTACTTCCTAAGTGCCATCCTCCTCCATTGCACCATGCACAAACCACACCTCTGCCTACTTATTATGGTGCATTTTTGGATACGCTTTCTATTGCTCACTAAAGATCCTTTCTATCCGCACATGATACAAGACAGAACTTCTTTGGGAGAAGACTCTGTGAGGACCTCAGGAGCTGTGATGTTACTAAGCTTTTGGAGGAAAATTCTGAGCAGTTTTCTCCATTTTCCTTCTCTGATTCCTTTTATTGCATCCCAATCTGGGTATGTTTCCAGTTGGATGGTATCCAGCTGCTCATCTGTGGAAGTGAATTGTCTGAAGAGAGGCATGAACTTAATTACATGTGGCATAGTAGATGTGACAAGAGGGGTCTTACCATTACTGAACATGCTCTAAGCGAAAGTGCAGGATGGCAGCTGAATAGCCTGAATGAGCCACAGAGATGGGAAAAGAGTTCTCCGACCATCGAGGGGGCAGTGCTGCGCTCAGGTTTTCTACCTCTCCTCCTTTACAGATCTCTGGAGAGGGGGCAAAGCCTTTGCTTTCCTGGTAGATACAATTTCCACAATTAATGCTGCTCACATGGGCCTTTTTGGCTTGTTTCTAATAGCACTTTTCACAAACAAACCCAACCTGGACTGAAATTTTGTCCTTTATCTATTCTTGTTGAAAAACAATTTGAGTTGAAGATATGAAAGCTGATTTTCCCTTTTCTCTGCATTGTATACTCACCTAGCAGTTTCATCAGAAGATGAAGAAATCTATTTAGAAATTCCAGATATAAAGGTGAATAGAACACCATTTTGTAAACTGTAGGGAGCCACAGAAAGTTTCTGAGCAGCCAAGTGACACAGGAATAGCAGTGCTTTTTAAAGATTGATCCAGTGACAGTGTGAGGGGTGCATGGGTGAAGGGAACAGAAGGACTTGCCCAGAAGGCTTGGTGCTGGGGTGGCCCTGGCAGTAATGCAGGTGAGAGGAAGAGGAGGAGGAAGAGCCAGGCCAGAGGGTGAGCCAGGCCCCAGGCTGAGAGAATGGAAACTCTGTAGAGAGAATCTACTTCAGAAGAGAAAGTATTTCACAGCTTGCTAGAAGTGTTGCAAAAGAGAGTCAGAACACACAGAATAGATTCAGAAATCAAGCCTGGGGCACTGTGAGAATTGTGAGAAAGGTGAGAGGCAGCAATGGCTCCAGGGGAGAGGACAGATTCCAGTGCGGATGTATTCAGTGTAAATGGGGATGTGGATTCCTGCTAGGGACATGGAAGTAAAGTCATGGCAAGGAAGGAACCTCCAGCCGAGAAAATGCAGAGGCAAAAAAAACTGGGGAAAGACTTCAAGAAGTATTCCTAAGAAGGTTTGGGTGTGATGAGAGAAATGAAATGGAATATGTAAGGATAAGGCAAATGAAGAGTTTGCGTCTAGCATCATTCTTAACATATTACTGTGTTATGAGTAGTGGCTCCTCAATTAATATTTCTGAATGAATGAATGAAGGTTTTAAGGGTAGACAGACAAACTGTGGTATATATAGGATCTCGAAAATCAAAGGTAAAGAGAGCTCCAAGATGGAGCCTGAAGATGGGTGCTATTAAAGTGAAAACATAGAGAAAGAGGAAGAAAAACAAAAAGATGATTAAATTCGTCAACTGACTGTGGGACATCAGTGGCCTTTAGGATTTTTTTTTTAATTGATGAAATCCCCTTAACAATGGTTTAAGATGTGAGTTAGTGGTGAGGCAACTGACATGACATATATAGGTATTAAATATAAATAATAAAGTAATGTGTTAGGATAAATAGAGGTCCAAAGTTCCCTATGTGGGTAATCATATAGGAGATAGATTTGCTTAACATGTTATTTTTTGGAACTTTGTAAAATCGTAGTTGACATTATTCTGTCTCAGGAAACATGGTGATCTTTCTCCTTTTAGTAGAGTCCTTTCTCATTCATGAGCCCCAAGTTCCTCAGTTTGAAGGAAAAGCTATAAAAAGACTAACAATGGGGGTTAGTGAGTCCAGATGTATTTAAATCGTATCCCCATACTGTTCTTGACAATGTACATTTATGCTTCAAGGTAGTTTATAAAACACTTCTTTTTGATAAGAGGAATAAATTTAAATAAGTGGATAAAAAGGTAAGAAAATGGGGAATATAAAGTTATGAAAGATAAGATAAAGTAGGCAAGCAGTTAGAATATAAAATAGTTAATGTAATTCCCAGCACATTTGCTGGTACCAGGTCATGAATTTACTATTTCTGAGCCTTTCAATAAGGAAATGTGTTAAGTAACAAGATCCGCGTGTCCATGAGGAAAAAAATACGCTCAGAAGAAACTCAATTATTTTTCCTTTGGTTTCTCATAAAGAAGACATTTTGCTAATACAGTGAACAGCATCCTTAAGAGAAAAACAGCAATGAGTTTCAAGGGCTGCTTCTATCAGCGTCCCTCAGTGAAGTAGATAAGCATAATGCTTATCAGTTCTGGCTTAATCCAGGGATAGATTTTGTTCTGTCTAGGGAAATGGTGGCACGCCCTTTGGAGTGGCTTTCATAAATATTATTTTTGCACAATTGAGCTTTTGATAGCAAGTGAGTTAGATAGTCCCTGTCAGGTACCTAAAGTGCAAATATTTCAAGTTGCCAGTTATGTGTGAAGGCCTGTGTTTTAAAAGGCAGCTGAGCCTACGGTGGGATTATCATCCTGAGGGATCAGACAAAAGAGATGACCATTACTAGAAAGTATCTCCTGTTCCCACAGAGGTGTATGGAGATAGATTCTTTTCAAGGAGTTTTGAGCCTGCTCTAGGTAACAGACAATAATAGTTTCACAAAGACTTAAACCCACTCTAAACAACCCAAAATACAGCGTTGTATAAATGATTGGTGTTTGAAACCTAGCTTTACATCCTTAGACAAGTGTGTTAATATCTGCAGATTTCAGTTTCCTCTTCTGGAAAAGAGGTAATAGACATACACTAACAAACTTACAGGTGTGCCATGAGCAGGTGATGCAATGGCTTACATGAAAGTTTTGTCAATTATGCACTCTTGATTAGAAGTTCTCCTCACTGATAATGACAAAGGATGAGAAAACATTTCTGACAGGAAACTGAAATTTCTCTCTGTGGGCTTTATCCTAGAGGACTCAGCACCCATCCAGATAATATTTACTGGAATATTATCCTTGTTGGACTTCAGAAAACATTTAAAATTGTGATCATTATTCTTTGCTGAATTTATACCTAACTGCCGCTTCTGCCGCTAATTTTTGCTCTATGTTCATTTTTATATCACCTGCAATTAATATTTACAGACTGTTTGCTTGAATTGCTTAGAAAACACGTGAGACATAAAGAGTGAAGCCCTTCTCTGCAAAAACATGAATCCAAGATATTTATTTTCTGCTATTTTCTTCTATGTATTTTAATATCTTCCTTTGTGTAAATAAAGGAAATGTGTTACACACTCTAACCTTAGTTTTCACATAGTTAAATCTTATCCTGCCTAACTCCTTCCGTATATGCTCAGATATTTCCAGTTTCAATGCTACTTGTCTCATCTTGAAAGACTATAAGAGAATCTTACCATTATTTCTTCTTTGTTTTCATTCCCTGTTATGAATTCCACTTCGCCACTTCCCTATTCATTACATTCTTGCACCTCACTGGGTTAATAAATTCTTTTGACACCTACTGCCCCTCCTTCCCTTGCTATCCCTCTTCCAAGAATGGTGCCCATCAATATTGCATGCCGGGGTATACTTGGAGAGTACAGGTCTGACAGCTCCCCAGCCCAGCAGGGAGTCTTCTCCCTTCTGTTCCAAGTCAGTGATGAGAAGAACCCCTCCTCCTTCCTGCCTCAAGCACCGGCTGCTAACACCAGACTGAGAGATAGATGTTTTCAATCCCCAACTATATTGCAAAGACCACTTGAAATAGATTCCACTGTGGTCTCCTTCTTTAAAAGTTTAATGTTCACTTCTCAAGGTACACTTGTAACTAGAAGGTAAGAGTAGTGCTCAGAAAAATGCAATCATTGTTTTTTTCCCCCTCCAGGATAGGAAAAATAGAATTAAGCAATAATAAAGTCACTGCTTAAGGCAGATAGTATAGTATTAACTATGACACACTGAAAGCAGAACTTGACTTGTGTTTAAGAGAAGGAATTTCAGACTGAAAGAAGGACAAGCTGGGTTAAGAGAAAATGAAAACAAAGGTGGTAATGGGGATAGAAAAGAGGTCTCAATTTGCTCCCAATAACCTTACAATTCCAGATTTCAGTACATTCCCAAGAACCTAGATAACTTTAGATTTAATGGAAGAAAGGGTATTATTACTCAAAGAGAATGTAAATGCTATTAAAAGACTAAAAGTAGTTGAAAGTTGTGTTGGTTTTCTAAATAGGAAGAAAGAAAAGCCATAGGTTGCTGAGATCCTAGTGTAGTTTTAGAATAAGAGAGGAAGCAGTGACAGCCAAGAGTTATTAAGGGGAACATATGCCAAATTTTAATTGCATTCTTAGAACTAATAGTCAACTGTGAAAGCACTAAGATTTAAACTTGCTTGTGAGCTACCGAGTTAGCTTTCACAGTTTTATGCATGCTGATAAAAGACACAAGACTTGTGGATCAAAGACAACAGACAGCTTATTACCCACAGTGATAGCGCTGTACAGAGTACCATCATTGTTGTGCCAATGTTGTGAGCCCCATTTTAGAAATGGTAATCTAAAAAGTTCAGATGAAGCCTACATACTCAATTGTTGCATTTCTCCAGAAAGGACCTGTGAGCTTAGAGAACCTGAGTCTTTTCTAATGGGGAGTACACATATTTGCCATTTGCTCCAGGAGTAGACATTGTCTTTATCTTTCAAGGTGATTGCTATACAAACATCCATGCATAAACATGAGAAATTCATGGACAATTGTCTTCCAACAATATTAAAAATAATAACAACTGCCATTCATTGACTGTTCAACAAGGATAACCCATAGATGTAAGCAAACTTCTAGAATATGGAATAAATAATATGTAAACCATAGATAAAGACTAGAGAAAAATAAATTTCAAATGGCTATTGCAATAGAAATTTGATATGTCCCTTGTCATATACATGTGAATTAGATCAAAAGATGTGAACTGGACAATGTCCATTTTAATGGGTTTACATTTGGTGGAACTATATGGCTCAAAGTATTGATGTCATATTGGAAAGAGATTTCAAATGGAGTCCCTGAAAATATTGAAATTTCCAATTCTTGTGTTGCAAAGTTATCAGTGGTTAGAATGAGAACATAAATGGTAAGCATATCAGGGTTAGGGAGGAGAAAAGACTGGAAGAGATAGCCAATATTTGGAGGAAACATACAGCATTAAGAAATAGATGACTCCAAATTTACCCTGAAACTATTAAGTTCAAATGAAAAACTAAATATAAATTTTGGTACCTATGTTTAAAAGCCATCATTACAATCATGCAACTAGACTTAGCCTAAGAACCATGTCCATAGACTTAGCCTAAGAGCCTTTCATGTGAGGAATATGTAGAGTGGTTAGCTTTAACAACTTTCTTAACTCCCTTGGAACTTCATTACTTCATTTTATAAAGGAAATGCTTAACCATACTATCTCCATCTTCCCATGTAACTGGAGCCTGCTAAATAATATTTATAAGTAATTCCTCGATTGAGAATAATCAACGGCAACAATTTTGTGAGGCATGAATATAAACACAGATTGCAAATCAAAGAAAACACTCCCTCATACTGTCTATTTGAGTGACGAGTTCAGGATGCCACCATTTTAACAAGGACCTTGAAAACAATGACCAGCATCCATATGAAAATGAAGATAGAAACCTAAGGAGAGATCCGAAAGCCATGCTCTTCCAGCTGAGTTTGGAAAAATTGAGGTTGTTTGTTCTGTAATAAGACTGTAGAGGCATCATAACAATCTCCAAATACAGAAACAATGTTGCCTCAAAAGCCAGTCAAGGATACTAACAGAAATTTCAGGAAGTCAGATTGTACTCATTCTAAATAAGAATATTTTGTAAATTTGAGTTGATGGTAAATGAGGTGACCTTTTAGCAGTAGTGGACTGCAGTTTTGGATGTGTGTATAGCACTAACTGTACTTCCGCCATGTTGTAGAGAGCTTTTGGATAGAAGGTGCTTCCCAGTGACTGCCACGGGCTGTTCTAAAATTCTGAGAGAGTCCATGATTTCAAAAGCTATGCTATTCTGATTGAGTAGCTTGAATACTGTCATTGAGAAGGCGTTCATTTTCATCTCAGCACTAACAGGCACTTACTGTTTAGACTTCGAGCTATCTACTCAACACCTTTGGAACTACATCTTCACAAATTTACTGAGAGGTTGGGTTAGTTTATCCATTTGCTTGTTGATTGCAGTCTTGTTAGGAAAAAGATTTAAGGTAATTTTTATATATAAAAATAAAGAATCTGTGTTTTTGAGGTTCTTTCTGTTCAGATTCTCTGAGTATGAACTGTACAAGTAAAGAGATCTCATTTTAAGTTGCTGTATAAATACAGTTCTATATTCTTTCTAGTCATATTTGACAGAGTGAATCTGCTGTACTAGCCTAAATTATTCCTGAAAGTCATTTGGACTAAGTTTAGCTCTAGAGTGTCCTCATTCTGAAATGATTTTTTAAAAGTATTTTTCAAGTCAGGTCCTGAAAACACAAAAGTATTTAAAACCCTGTGAGACCAGTGGCAAGAATTATCAGAAAATCTGGTTATGTAACTTCATAGGGACTCTGTTCTTCCCATTCCATCTTGAAAGTGTCTGTACATAAATTCAGAGGAAGCTACCACAAGAAGACCTGTGTCGGAGAAAAGGGAATCAAAGAGATGCTGACAAATTGATTGTTATCATAAAGACTTCCAGTCCTGCAAGATCAAGGTCTTGCTATAAAGAGCACTTAATTCTGCATCACCTATTTCCTCTCCCCAACCCCCACTCCCCGGAAAAATAAAGAATTCCAAGAGAAAACTTGAACTGTTTGCATAAGAACTGTAGCTCTCAGAACCCAAGTGCATAGTTCATAAATACAACGGAAATATCACTGATGCCATTCTCTGCTCTCCTTCCAGGCCTCCCATGGATGACTCTCAAACACTCTTGACCCCTGTGGTGAGCTGTGGGCCCCCAGGAGCCCTGCTCACCCGCCCTGTCATCCTCACTATGCATCACTGCGCAGACCCCAATACCGAGGACTGGAAGATACTGCTCAAGAACCAGGCAGCACAGGGACAGTGGGAGGTGAGCTGCTGTCGGGATAAAGATGCTATGCAAGAATAATCCATGCAGATAAGCAGGAGCAGTTATGGCAGGCCTTTTATTTTTAAAGCAAAACAGTGAAATTTTAGCTCACCCTCAAAATGAGAGACAGACAGGCAGACTAGTTCCTGAGTGTTAGTTATGTCTACTGATTGATAGGCACACAGAAAATGATGGTCACTTATTAGATAACTCATAGGAGAAGTGCACATAAGAGACTTAGCCATGTTCCTTTTGAAATATCAATTATATATGTATATATGATGTATATGTGTATATGCATACTTCATACATATATACATATATGGTGTGGCTCATGCCTGTAATCCCAGCACTTTGGGAGGCCAAGACAGGGGGATCATGAGGTCAGGAGTTTGAGATCAGCCTGACCAACATTGTGAAACCCCATCTCTACCAAAAATAGAAAAATTAGCCGGGTGCTATGGCATGCACCTGTAATCCCAGCTACTCGGGAGGCTGAGGCAGGAGAATCATTTGAACCCAGGAGGCAGAGGTTGCAGTGAGCCGAGATCTTGCCACTGCGCTCTCTCTCTCTCTCTCTCTATATATATATATATATGTATACACACACACACACACACACACACACACATACACATATAATTTGCAGGTACAGAAACATTGCAACTGGGTAAGAAAATGTTAGGTACTTACGTGAAGACACATACCTGGGATATAGTTCTTGTGAACTTAACCTTGGGAAACACAAAGGGTGTGTCTCCAAAGCTCCACTAGAATGAACAGGATCCATGGCTCTCTGCAGCCGTTGCCATCATAACTTCTTAAGGATGATGCTTTAAACAAGTCCAGTTCCTTATATTAGAACCCTCCGCTTAGCACCTCTATTTCAGTAATACGTATAAACAAAAATATTCAATAATATGAATACTTGTATAAAATGTAAAACATAAAATAGGAAGTTATAATATGCAAAACATGTATGCTTTGCAATTACTTATGATAATTTTTTAGGAAAAATATTTTTAGAAAAGATGCACATGAAGATTCCAGTTCCTAATATTTGAAGAAAATATAGCATTAGATCTAGAAGAGCAGCAGAGCAAACCTGGGATTAACTGGGATTTTTTTTTCTATGGGCATGTTCTACTCTTGGCCATATCAGGGGATCACTCTTTGCCGAAGTGTACATAATTAATAAATAAACATACTCTATCTCGAGTTATGACCAGACTTATCCAGATCTAACTTTAATTCTATTTAACCTTTAAATGATTTATCTGGAAGACATCCGGTCTTAATTCAATGCGATCCTAATTGTTTGCATGACTCTCTTCCTACTGCCCTATCCGTTTCTGAGTTTGAGTGGTAACAATAACGACAGTAACAATACACTGAGCCAATGAGGAAAGTAGAAGAGGGCAGTCCTCATGAAAGCCCCTTGTACTTGTGCATGACTGGGACGCTCTTCGGCCATGTCTTCCAGGAAGCTTTCTGTACCATGTCGCCACTAGGTGATACCGGAGGCTTTCCTTTGTCCTGGAGAAAGTGGCTGCTTTCCAGGTGTCCTTTTGTGCCTGCAATAAACCTGGAGCTTCTGAACTTCTTTCCTCTCTTCCTTTTTAGGAGCTTCCTCTGGAGGTCTAGGTTCAGTAGAAGAAATTACTTCACTGATGCTATTAAAACACGGCTCTTATTATAGCTCAGATGATGTTGCAAGGCCCAACTAATAAATAATAACCGAGGTGGTGACCTCTTTCATGTCTTTGCGTAGCCCTCTGAACTAAGTTTATAACCAAGTGTTCATTCACTATTTCAGCAAATAGTTGTTAGACATTCACCCTGAGCCAGGCCACTGGAATACAGTGGGAATCGAAGTTGACATGAGTCCTGCCCCTACAGAAAGACTGACTCCATGTCTGACAGGACAGAGACTGACTCATGCTCATGTGTGTATTTCTTCTGTCTGAGATCTTCTTTTAAATTTGAGTTAATTAAAAGTTGGAAAATTGCACATTAAAATCTGAACTTCCAGTGTGTCTTGGAATGCGTGAGGCTTTGCCCATGTTTGGCCTGCATTCTTGCACAGCAGCCATGGGCCGAAGCGCAGTGAGGCTGAGCTCTTTACACAGACGTGCGCTCTGTTTACCCACAGTCTCCATCATTCCTCCCTGACTGTGGCCTGCCTGCTTCACATGCGTCTGTCACCTGGTTGCCCCAGGATGCATTCAGAATCCCAGCCCTTGGTTTTGGGGTCCCATACTTGGTCTTTCAGATTATATGTTCTGTGACCTGAACTATATAGATGAATCAAAACTTGGTTGAATTAGTCACTGATTTTTTAAATAAAAACCATCACGTCCATTTATTTTTATTTCTTGCTAAATGTTTTCAAGGTCTAAAAGAGTAGACTGTTGAATGACACATGAAGAGTAACAGAGAAATGTATCTTATGTGTCATGGAATTTGTCATGTCTTGCTTTTCTTAGAATCTGACAGCCAAGATGACTTAGAAAAAGCAGTGTATTTCTTTAGGAAGGAAGTGTCAGGTGAGTTTTGAAAGAGCATAGTAGAATTGCATATTAATGTACATTGTACTGTTCCTTAATTTATCTAATTCTTTTCACATGTACAGATTTTTAGGGAAAATATAGATTCTAGAAGTTCAAAAACTGCAAACTGAAGGACATTTAAATAAAGAATATTCTCAGTGTAAAGACAATGGTATAAAGAGACACAGTGATGAAAATCTTAAGTAGACAGAGCATAAAACACGAGGGAGAAAAAAGACCAAGAAAAGGATAGGTCCTGCTCAACCCACTATCATTCGCCACCATCCCTGGTGGCCCGCGTGTGTTCTGGGTAGCTTAGCCGTGACCCTTCCCTCTTGTCTCCCAGGATGTGGTGGTGGTTGGAGAAGAAAACTTCACTACCCCTTGCTACATTCAGCTGGATGCAGAGGCCTGTCACATCCTCACAGAGAACCTCAGCACCTACGCCCTGGTCGGGCATTCCACCACCAAAGCGGCTGCAAAGCGCCTGAAGCTGGCCATCTTCGGGCCCCTGTGCTGCTCCTCCCTGGAGTACAGCATTCGAGTCTACTGTCTGGATGACACCCAGGATGCCCTGAAGGTAAGTGCCTCCCACCTGGCCTGCCCTCTTCACCTTCACCTGGAAGCCAAGGTTTTGCCTGGCTGTGCACACCTGGAGACGTGGCTGAGCATGTGCACCCAAGTGTGTGGACACATGTGTTTGGCCCCGAAGGATGCAGTTTAAAAGGATAGATGTTTCTCTGAGGCCATGCTGATATATGAGCTGTTTATTCGGATTCCTCCCAAGGGCTACTTTGTTTACCTTCCTTGATTTCTTTTAATGAAAAATGTAGAAGAATTTGGCAATGGGACCCGTGGATGGTAAATAATCTCCTTCCATGTTTATCTCAGCTGCGTTCTTCCTATAAAAGGAATTGGCATAATTGCTCACACTGTATGCTCCTCTGGTGTGCTGCTTCATTTACATGCTTTCCCATTCTTTTTATGAGGGCTGTGAGGGAGCGGGTTAGCACTTGACAACAGGCTGCTGCTTTGCAGAATAAATGAGCTTAATTCCTGGTGTGATTATTGCCATCCATTTTATCCCATTTGAAGTTTAGGGGATATACTTAGTGCCTTTGAGGAAGTTATGGTCTAGAAGGAGGAATAAAAGAAGCATGTCGAGGTCGAGGAGGTAAGTCAGAGGGTGAGAAAGGCCACAGTTGCAAAGTGCTATGTGGGAGCTCAGGAGACGGAGGCATCATTACTTTGAGGAAATCTGAAAAGGAGCTAACGTTTGATGCCTGGCCCTAATGGAAGATTAGGCTTTGATCAGCAATAGTGGTGGGGAAAAACACGAGATTTCTAGTTGGAGGGAAGAGCATGAATAAACACAGAAGCAAACAATAAATATAGACTTTGTACAAGCAGATTGCTTCTGGTAAGCCTGGAATAATAGGTAGGAATTTCGTCTAGATAGACCTTCATGACCAGAGAGAGGAGTTGAGATTCAGTTATTGAGTTAATGGAAATTGGAGAGGTATAAACAGAAGAAAGACATGATTGAAAATACATGTTAGAAATATCAGCCTGACTTCAGTGAGAAGGTGAGTCAAAGTAGGAAGGAATGTGTGATGGAGCTGGGAGGATGACGGAGGAGTGAGATGAAGAGAACAAGGCTAAAATGTCCTGTTCAAGTGGCCTTTAGAGAATCCCATGACGAACGCTGAATGGGTGGGGCAGAAGGTCAAGTTTCTGCCTCTAAGTCATAGTAGCAAACTTAGGGGCAGGAAGCCTTGGGGTATAGAGATGGTGCCTGTCTTGACAGTTCAGGCAGCTCTGACAAAGTGCCCCAGGCTGTGTGGCTTAAATAACAGATGTTTACTTCCCACAGTTCCAACCCAAACTTCCATTCTGGAGGCTGAAAATCTGAGGTCAGGGTGCCAGCATGGGTGGGCTCTGGTGAGGAACCCTCTTTTGGGTGGCAGACTGCTGACGTTTTGCTGTGTCCTCACATGGTGGAGAGATGGGGAGAGAGCTCTCTGGGATCGCCTTTACAAGGTCACTAATCCCATTCCTAAGGGCACCACCCTTATGACCTGGTCCCCACCCAAAGGCCTCACCTCCTTATACTATCACACTGGGGATTAGGATTACCATATACAAATCTGGGGAGACACAGACATCAGTCTGTAACAGTGCCTTTTCTTTTTTTTCTTTTCTTTTTTTGAGACAGAGTTTCGCTCTTGTTACCCAGTGCAATGGCGCGATCTCGGCTCACTGCAACCTCCACCTCCTGGGTTCAGGCAATTCTCCTGCCTCAGCCTCCGGAGTAGCTGGGATTACAGGCATGCGCCACCATGCCCAGCTAATTTTTTGTATTTTTAGTAGAGACGGGGTTTCACCATGTTGACCAGGATGGTCTCGATCTCTTGACCTCGTGATCCACCCTCCTCAGCCTCCCAAAGTGCTGGGATTACAGGCTTGAGCCACCGCGCCCGGCCCCATAACAGTGCCTTTTCTTTTGGAATACTGAATTTTATAGACTCTAATTCAGTCTATAAAAGATGCCCAAGGCACAGTTAGAAATATATATGTGGTTCTCTGAACAGAGAACAGGTTTTTGAAATGGAAATCCAAGAACCAACTACATTATGTGGATAATTGTTATCCACAGTGGTCAGGGAGACTATCAAGAGAGAGGTAGAAGATAATCATAAAAAAATCTACAGCTGGGCACGGTGGCTCACGCCTATAATCTCAGCACTTTGGGAGGCTGAGGTGGATGGATCTCCAGGTCAAGAGATTGAGAGCATCCTGGTCAACATGGTGAAACCCCGTCTCTACTAATAATACAAAAATTAGCTGGGCATGGTGGCTCATGCCTGTGGTCCCAGCTACTGGGAGGCTGAGGCAGGAGAGTTGCTTGAGCCCAGGAGGCAGAGGTTGCAGTGAGCTGAGATCATGCCATTGCACTCCAGCCTGGGTAACAAGAGTGAAACTGTCTCAAAAAAAAAAAATAATAATAATAATAATAATAATAATCTACATGACTGAGAGCTTCTATGTATAAGACAAAATTCTAAATACTTTATATTAATTCACTTAATCTTCATTTTATCTATAAGACACCATAATCTCCACTTTATAGGTTTATAAACCCAAGGCACAGAAAGTTTAAGTACGTTTCTCTAGGTCACACAGCTGTTACGTGGAGACAGCAGGCTTCATGCCCAGGCTGCTGGCTGCAGCCTGGCTGCAGCCTGGCTGCTTGGCCCCTAAGCAAAGTTGCTGAAAGTGCCGTACCCTAGAGACAGGGGACCAAGGAAAGCCCTGGCATTGCAAGGGAGGAGGAAGGGCAGCCAGCAAAGGAAGTAAAGAAGGATGAGCAGCCAGATGAGGAATAGAAATGGAAGAAAAATGAGTCAAGGAAGCCAAGGAAAGAAAGTTTTTCTGAATATCAGGGTATTTCCATCTGGAGCTTCTGTTCAGAGACTAGTGCTTGGTTCTGAACACTGAGTGTTCCAGGATAGGTCCCCTAGGAAGTGGCTCCGCAGGAAAAGACTGTAGAGGGTGCGAGTGGAAGCTGGAAGGTAAGCCAGGGGCCTCTTGCCATCATCTGTTCACCATGGTGGATTTGACCAGCATGGTCTTCAGACAGGGATTTGACCTCTTGAGTCAGTGCATATAATTTTGATGGTTGAGCCTGTAAGATTTTCTGATTTTGAATAAAAGTTCTGAACACACAGCTCTAATGTAAAGCTTAAGGTTATTTTATATATATATTCCTTGCAAATGTAATACATGCAAAGCCCTGTCAGGATAGGAATCATGCTAGGCTTAAATTAGGGGAAAAGGTATATGTAGGGGAGCCACTGGATCTGATTAAGGCAAATCTTTTCAACAGTTTCATGAAAAGTCATCGCAAAAGCATGCCATAGATGACCTACGTCATACTTGAAATGTTTGCTATACATATTTTATATTCACACACATAGTTCTCTCCTCAGGCACCCTGTCTTCCCAACAAACACACCCAAATACATGCAAAATAGAATATTTCATAAAAGTAATTCTGATTTTAATAATCAGTGAACACAAGATGCAAATGGTCAATAGTGAGAGAGAGTGATGAACAAGATTAAGCAGCGAAAACAACTCAAGAGCGGTTTGTGTCATGGTCAGTGCTTTCTAAATAGACATTTATAAATTCTCAGCATCTGGGGATCTAGCACTTAGCCTGAAACAAACATGAATAATGGATGAGGCTTTCTTGCACCTCATGGCCTTTTAATAATGCAGAAATACCAAAATCCTAGTTCTAGGTGGATTGTTTCTCCAACATACCAAAGAGACAATTATTCCAGTCACGTCACTCTTCCTCACACCCACACTTGAATTGGAAACTTGGGGCTGATTAGCTTAAAAAGCCCTTTATTACCAAAATCCTGCCTTCTTGGCACCCTGCCTGCTAATGTTCCCACCATACTCTCCCATCTCTCTGCTTCTCTAATTGCTGCTGCCCAGAAATACTTCCTCTTGCAACGTCCCTCCCAAAGGCCTCCTCCTTCAGGCCTTCCCTGCTCCTGACTCACACTTATGTTCTTCCAAAATCGGAAATTCTCACGCACAGAGGAAGCAGGTGGGAGTTTTTATAAAGACTCACTCTGGGGTCTTGCCCCACTGGTTCTGATGTAATTGCTCTAGGTATTAAAAAAAAAAAACAAAAAAACTCCCTTGTTATTCTATTGTGCCACCAGAGTTAAGAGCTATTATCCTAAACACTTGCCCAATTTTTTTTGAAACTCTGATTCTACTAAGAACAAACTTTCCTACAGCCTCATGTCATTCCCTCTCCCATTCCACCACCTGCTCTCATTAAATGCCAGTGGATCTTCTGGTAACACTTCACAATGCCTCCAGTGAAGACTGTACCCTCAATGAACCCCAGCGCCAAGAGGAAATGTGCCAGCAATTCTCATACCCCATGACTTTTTCTGGGGCATCTTTTTACAGCCCAGGCTGGATGGTTCTGCTGCTGCTCATGCCTACTTCCGTTCCTTTGCACAGACCTCTGTGGACTCCACACTTGCCTTGTGGCAAGTACTTTCCATCCATTCCCATCATTCCCTCAAATTCAGTGTCATGACTTGAATCATAGTCTCTCTGCCCAAACGTATCCTAGTAGCCTTCATATCATCTCACACTATCTATTCATTGGTGTAGATGTGCTGCAGATTTCATCTTCATCAGCAACTGCTCCACTGCCAAGATCTCCACCTTTCAAGCTCCCACTTTCTGACCACAATCATCTAACCTTCCATTTCTCTCTCCCTTTGGAAGAGGAAGATATTTTTTATTCTTAAGGAGAGGCTCCCTCTCTGGGCACGGTGGCTCACACCTGTAATCCCAGCACTTTGGGAGGCTGAGGCAGGTGGATCACCTGAGGTCAGGAGCTCGAGACCAACCTGGGCAACATGGTGAAACCCCGTCTCTACTAAAAATGCAAAAATTAGCTGGGTGTGATGGCATGCCCTGTAATCCCAGCTACTCAGGAGACTGAGGTGGAAGAATTGCTTGAACCCAGGAGGTGGAGGTTGC